ACCCACAGCCGTCACCTCGAGGTCTGACTGTAAAGAGGCCCGGCTTCTAAACGCCCTCTTGGGATATTAGGATCTGAGGCATCGCTGAAGCTGGAGAGAAGTCCCCAGCCATTATCATCTCTTCCAAAGATGCCGTTGCTCTGTCCCCCTGTGCCTCGATCCAGGCCCGGGACCTGCCTGAGACCGGCTGGAGCACAGGGCGGGCAGCGGCCCATCTCTGGGAAGCAGCATTAGTCTGCGCTCCGACAATTGGAAAGCCCAGAACAGTGAGTCACTGATGAATAGTCCTGGGAGAGGCAGACGCAGGATGTCCCAGGGAGCCAGGCTGTACCCACTTTCCCCATCTGGGCACGGAGGTGGGAATTCTCCCCTGGAACGTACTCCAAGTCACCTTCTTGGGTCAAATACAAATTCTATCCCGTCACTCAGTGTAATTCCCGGGCTGCCCATTTTTCAGAGGTGTATTCGGAGCAAGGGACATCGTGTTGATGACTTTCCCTCCCCTCATCTGGATGCCCAGCACAAAGAGGCAGAAACACTTGCTTCACACAATCAGGAGGTTATCTTCCCTGCCTCCCTGCCTCCTTCCCATCACTTCCTCACGGGCCATCCGAGGACAGGCATTTCTGGGGGACCAGCTGGGGTGTTTTCACTGTGGCTGACATGCAGAAGGGCAGAAGATCAGGCTGGGAGTAGACAGTACGGGAAGAGGCACCCAGAGGAAAGGCCGTCAAAGCTGGACCAGTGCTCAGAACAGTGGACAGAAAAGGTCCCTCCTGGGGACCTGCTCTGTGGGAGCTCAGGAGTGGGGGCAGCCTCGGGCCCCCTCCCTGGAGAGCGGAAGGGGGAGGAGGCCGGGTGCTGGCGGGTGCACAGGACACAGGGCCTGGGGAAGGGAAGGATGCTCCATCTCTAACGGGGACAGACACACTTGGGGTCTCGAAGGACAGTGGTGTGGTATGAAGTGGGGCCCGATGAAGCAGGAGCTGTGGGTTCAACTCTGTCTTGCTGTGTGACCTTGGGCGGCCCGGAGTTAACCCTCAGGCCTCGGTTGTCTCTGTTGGAAAAGGGGCAGTAGCCGTTTACCTGACGACCACTGGCAAGTCAGAGAATTACCCTCTTAGGAAATACACTCAGAAGCTTTAGACGTGTGGGCTGTCACACACACAACTGACCCTCGAAGAGTTCAGGAAGAATGAGGTAGGCGCGTCGACAGAGAGCGCGTGAGCAGGCACACGGGTGACAGCCGCCATTCTTCTTCCCATCCCCAGCCTGGCAACTTTTCTGTGAGCTTGAGATTGTTTCTAAATAGCATTGAAAAAATTGCAAGGCCATTCAGACTCCATGGATATGGAGAGGTCTCCAAGGCATATTGTGAGTGAGAAAACAAAGACAAGACCACGCACGGGACAGAGTGGAAACGCGAGGTGGAGGCGGGGCGCCGGGTCCGGGGGAGGCTCTTCTGAGGGAAGTCATTTCAGACCTTTTAAATTGCTGTCCCGTGGGTGCGAATTAACTAACCGAAAACTCTAATTTTCATAAAAGGGAAAAGGCTTAAATAAAGTGGGGTGATGCAAGGAAAATGTGTTCACAAAAGATCCAAAAGATCCAAGCTGACGGTGGAAAACCCCAGAAGGGCTGGAGTCTGTCCGCCTGCACTGCGACAACAGCAAAGGTGGATCCCACAGCCGCTGTGTCGGATGAGAGGAGCCAGGCACCAAGGAGTTGGGCGTTCTTCGTGACTCCATTTATATGACCTTCTAGAACAGCCTAAGCTCACCGCGGGTGGTGGACCTCGGAGTGGGGGCTGCCTTGGGGGATGGGGCACGACGTTGCTGCTGGCTGGTGGGACTGTTTCACTGAAGGCTTGTGCATTATTCTGTATGCACGTCACACCTCAGTCCAATGAGCAAATCCTCTATCTGACTCCAAGCAGGAGGCCCACAGCATCTGGGCGCCCACGTCTTGGAGTTGACAGAATGTGCCTACTTTGGCTCCTGGTGAATTAGACAGCAGCCAACTGTCTTTGATGTAAAAGGTGGAATCACTCCTTTTGGGGGCGGGAGGGTGGACAAGGGTTCTGATCTGCCTTGTGTGGGAGTCCACTGGTTCTCCACCCCTTGCTGCAGCCACTGGCGTCTGGGGGATGGCCTGCCTCCCCCATTTGCGGATGGGGAGACTGAGGCTTGGACCAGGATCAGGAGGCAGGTTGGGGCCCTGGGCTCTCATGCTAGCCTCTGAAGGCTCTTGTCAAACCCTGACTCCCTGCGAGGCCTCCTTCCACATTGCACTGGTGTGCTTTTCACCAAACCCCATGGTGACCAGAGGTAACCAGGAGGGCTGGGCTGAGCCCCCGACCTCCCGGGGTGGCTGTGGTGCCTCATGCCTGGAAGCACATCCTTTGCTCCCATCAGGGACAGTCAGCCTGGCTTCCTTCTGCCTTGGTTTCCATGACGACCACTGCGATCCTGAGGCTGTTTCCTGGGGCAACCTGGGAGCCCTCGTGGTCAGGAGGGCTGATGCTGCTGCCACGCCCGACAGCAGGCTAGCACCAGGACTAGAGTGTGTCCCTGGGAAGGGTGTCCTCGCACCTGGGCGCCTGCCCTGGACCATCTGAGACCCCTGACTCAGCAGACGGGTTCTGAGCACCGTGGGCTACCCACCCATCGTCCCACGACTGCCACTGATGACGCTAGATGCCTGGCTTGGTACTGGCCCCACTCCTCACTATGCGGTTACCTCGGGCGAGTTTTTCACTCTGCAGAATGGGGGTTAGATGGAGCCCACCTGGGAGCACTGCGGCGAGGGCTGAGCTAGCACAGGTCATGCACGAGCCTGGGCCTGGCATGTCCTCAAGACAGCCATGTGTTCCTGCCATCATCACAGAAGATGCTACACGCAGGGTGGAAGGGAGAAGGACAGCTGGGTCTACCAGGCCAGGTGTGGGTGAGGCCCCAATGGGGTCTTGGGGTCTGGGCATCAGTATTCTCCCAGAGTCCCTAGGATGCTGCTTGCCTTGTGTCCAAACTCCCAGGACGCTGGCCCTGAGCCCGTCCTGCCATTGCCCACTGACTGAGGACAGCAAATAGAAACAGAAGCCACCCTACCCCTAACCAGAGGGCAGGGGCCTGAGCTGCTCCCTCTGCGCGGCGATCTGCCATCTGACCACTAGATGGTGCTGTGCCCTCACAACCGAGGCTGCCACGCGGCCTCTGGGTACCACCCTCCACCCACCTGGTCCAGCAGAGCCCTGAGCCTGGGACTCTGGGATGCGGGATAGGGGATGCAGGGATGCGGGGGCACAGGGAAGCAGGATGCAGGGATGTGCGATCTGGGGACTCAGTGACTCGAGGACGCAGGGGTGTGGGGAAGCAGGATGAGGGGATGTGCGGACGCCGTGGTGGGGCCCCTCTTGAGGGACTCGGGCCTGTGAGATGCCTTCACAGCAAGCTGACTGGCCCACTGGGAGAAGGGGGGGGTCTCCTCTCTGTCCCTCCACCTCCCTTCCTCCCCTCCCCTCTCTCTGCCTCCCTTCCTTTGCTGCAGAATGAGAGCACAGCTTCTGGGGTCCCATCCCAGCTGCTCTGACTTATGGGCTGGGCTGTGTGGCTTTGGGCAAGTGACTTAACCTCTCTGAGCCTGGCCTTCTCTTCCATAACTGGGTCCTGGCCCTCATGGGGTTAGTAGAGGTAAGAGGCTGACCAGGAGGCCCTGGCCAGTGCCCGGCGGGGGAGAGCTCCACAGCATGGCTTGTACTCTAGTTGTTATTGTTACTATTATTGCTGCTACACCCTCATCTGCTCAGCCCTCTGGGAGAGGGGACGGCTTCAAGAAGGTGACCCGGAGATCCTTGAAGCAGCCTCCATGTCCCAGCACTGCTCTGGGAGCCCTCACTGACCCTTTCCTCTGCCTGTCCTAGCCTCACACACCTGCTGAATTTCTGGACGGGCAACTGTGGAGTGGGCACATGTCCCCATTGTGTCAGCAACCCCCTCAGGGGACCCAAAAAGACAGCTTGGGGATGCAGAGCTACTTGACAAGGACCTGGGGAGTCATCAGGGGATGGTGTTGGTTGGTGATCAGGGAGAGAACAGAGGCCACCCCCCTGAAGACCGCTGGGTGGCACAGAGGGGGTCATCACGTGTCCCGGGCACTGAACGAGCTGTGAGGATTTCACGAGAAGAGGCCGCCTGGCAGCGCAGCGCCACTGGAGTACGGAGGCATCGGGAGCCAGGTGACCGGTGGCTCTGACCCACCGTCTGCCGCAGGGACCTTCCCTGCGTGAGGCTAGTTTGTCTCTCTGTGACTCATGGGCTCTGGACCCACAATGGACGTCCAGTTACATTCTGTGAGTGAAGGCATGAATGTCCACCTAGAGCGCTTGGTCATTTAGGTCCCCAGCAGCCTGGTGCAGCCCAGTCACCACCCGCCGGCTGTGGCTGATGGGGACGAGCGCACAGTGTGTCCCCATACCCTTTCCCTTTCTGCTGACCGTGGGCATGGAGGGCTGACTAAGTTCCTCGTGCAGGGACCTGCCCCGTCCCTGGGCAAGGCCCTGTCTGGGCACACCCAGCAGGTCCCCCTGCACACACGGCTGCACTCACGCCTCCAAAAGTGGCTGAAACCTCTGCCTCTCGCCTGAGCCCAAACACCACCGGTCAACTCCGGATTCAGAAAGAGTGTCCAGCTTGCTTTGTCCTGGAAGCCTCTTAAGGTGTCAACCATCACTCAATATGGGGGCCTCTCTGTGCTGGATTGGAGCACAAGCCCCCCTCCCCGCCCCCCCCCCCACCCCCCAGCAGACGGAGCCTCCAGCTCTGCTACTGCAGACAGCTGAGCGATGCGCTCCTGCACCAGCCTCCTGCTGCCCAGGGCCTCTGGTACACCCGGGTCTGTCAAGCTCCTTCTCTCGGACAGCAGCAAAGGCAGAAGCAATACCGAACGTCAGAGAATTACAGCACGCGTGGCCGTGCGTCACCATGGGGATGTGAGGTACTCACCGTGCTTGCGGTGAATTCTGGCGGGTTGTCATTCACATCCGTCACGGTGATGATGGCTGTGGCTGTGTTCGAGAGGCCATAGTTAAGGTTTCCTTCCATGTCTGTGGCCTGAATGATGACTGTGTACTGCTGAACTTTCTAGAAGGGAATGAGTTGGGAAAGAACAGTGATCAGTTTGAGTTTTAGTTTACAGGCAGTGTATAGTTTTCATCAAGAAATATATCTCCCAGGATGGAGTTAGCTGCAGCCAGGTCCCACTCCTGCCAGCGTGGTATGCTGGCCGCAGGGCTGTCTCAGAGCGCTCGGCTGATGACCTGGCGGAAGAATGTTCTCCTTCACTTGCTGTGGGTAGCACGTGGCATGAAGAGGTCTGGCTGTGTTTCCATCTCAGTGGCCTTGGCTTCCATATAGATTGTATTTGGTGCCAAACTAAGAAAGGGGGAGAACAGGGGCCCCTGAGAGCACGGTGCTGCATTTGGCTTGGAACACCAGGGATGGACAGCTTGCAAATAGAGGGACAATCCCACAGACACGTGCTGGAGGGACCTTGTTTCTTTAGCATTTTCAGTGTCCAGCTCAACTGCAGATCAGAAATTCAAACAGGAGAAGACAAGCCCTTCTCCTCTCTCGTTGCAGGTGCACAGATACAAGCACACTTTCCGTTTGAACGAAGTCAGGAAGGAGTGGTGAGCATTCAGATGCAGGTGTGAGTTTGAAAAGGCAAATAAAGCTTGATGGAAAGAGTGAATTTATTAGGCATTGAAGGAGTCTCACAGCCCTTCCCCACCTAGCCTCACTAGGAGTCCACCAGCCCAGAAATCCCTGAGTGCGCAGAGGTAGCCTTTTCCACACCCCTGTTCTGACAGAGGTCACAGGTGCTTCTAGTGTGACAGGTGAGGATGAGCCTGGTGGTGGCTCTGCTGGGACCACAGCCCACTTCTCACTGGCACCATTAGGGAAAGGAGGATTCTGGGGCCAAGGCAGAAAGGGACCTTATGAAATGCCTTCCAAGTGATGAACTATACCAAGTCCTATTCCTCCAAGAACTTAAGGGAAAAGACCAGTTCCGAGCTGTGTGGGAATTCAGTGAAATGTGTTCAGGTTCCATAAACTGGCTCCATAAAGAATCATAAACAACAGATGTGTCACTAAACTGTCTCTCTCTTTCCATTCACCCATCCATTCCTCTCTCCCTCACTATCTCCCTCCAGTCGTTCATCCATCTACTCATCTATCCACTTATCTATCCATCCATCCATCCATCCATCATCCATCCATCCATCTATCCACCCACTCTCCCATCCATCCATTCATCCATCAATCTGTCATTCATCTACCCACTGACCCTCCCATCCATCACCCATCCATCCATCCATCCATCCATCCATCCATCCATCCATCTATCCATCCATTCATCTCTCTATCCCTTCCTCCCTCCCTCTCAGACCAGCCGGCTCCAAGCCAACCTGGCAGCTGATGACAGATGCATGAATGAGCCCAGCCAAGTCCAGAAGAGTTTTCCAGCTGAGCCTAGCCCAAATTGATAATCTGTGGACTTTTGAGCTGAAGAAATGGAAATAAATGGGTGTTTTAGGCTGCTGAGTATTGGGATGTTTCGCTATGCAGCAGAAGCTAACTGACTCACCCAAATCCTTACCATGGACCACAAGGCTCTGTGTACCTGGCTGCTGACCACCTCTGCAGCCTCATCTTGAGTCAGGCCCCCCAGACCCTCTGTACAACCTCCCTCAGCACCTTAGACTTGCCACACGGCCTCCCACCACAGGCCTTTGCACACGCGCTTCCCTCTGTGCAAAGCTTTTCCTCCTCCTTTAGTGAATGCCTACTTTTTTTTCAGGTCTTTGCTCAAATGTCCCTTTCTCCTGGAATTCTCCCCTGACCCTCCAGACAAGCCAGGGCCCCCATTACCTGCTCTCAGACTGGCCTACCCGGCATCCACGGCTCGTATCACAGTTCTGGCTTTGCAATTTTTGTGCCATCATTTGATTGTCGTCTGTGTCCCTCACCAAACTGAGCTCTGGGTGGCCATGGCTGTTTTATTCACCACTGTGTCCCCAGGGTCGAATGTGGTGCCCAACACACGGTAGGTGCTTAGTGAATGTGCGCTGAATGTTCCCAAATGGCTATAGTGACAATAGGGATTCTGAGGAACGGCAATCTGGTCCACAGAGGTCCCCGGGTGCTGATAAGGCATCTGGCCATTTGTGGGCAGTTGGGGGTCCCTGAGGGGGCTGTGGGGGGAGTCACATGATCCAGTGAGTGTGACCTTGCCCCGTGGGCCACGTCTGCTCACCACCGTCTATTTTTGTAAACAAAGTTATTGGCACACGGCCACATCCACTCATTTACACAACACCTGTGGCTGTTGTTGCACAACAGCTGAGTTGAGTGGCTGTGACAGTGATCACACGGCCTGCAAAGCCTAAAATATTTACTACCCAGCCCTTTACAGAAGAGGCTTGTCAGCCTGGGCTCCGACATCAGGCAGCACAGGACAGTACCTCCAGGACAGGCCTGGTAGTGACGCCACAGACTTCTCAGGGCGTGAGGGCTGGGGGGAGCCAGGGGAGGCTTCTGGGAAGAGATGGGATGTGCTGCCTGGGGTGACAGGATAAATGAGAGCAAAGCAGAGGGTGTGCACTAGAGGAATGTACCGGGGGCTTATGGCAGCCAACCAGGCTGGGCCCTGCACTGGGATGGGGGCTTCAGGGCTCAGTAATGTCCGCACGCTGTCTCCCACCCAGACCAGTGCTTGACCTCCCCCCTCTGTCAACGCCGCAGTCTGGCGTGACCAGGACCAAGTGCTGGGGTGGGGCGCTGACTCCTGGCCCCCATCCCTGTCATCACCTCACCGTGGCTGTGGGTCGGAGAGGCCTTTCCCAAGGGGCAGGTGTCAGGAGCCTCTCAGAGGAGCAGGAATCAGCTCCTCAGTGCAGGCCTTGTTCCTTCAAGGGGATTATTACCTGGAGGAGGAGTGAGGAGACCCCCATCAGAGCTCCCCACCAGGCTCCCGAGGCCACGGGCGTGAGGGGAGGGGCTGCGAGGCCCAGCAGTGCAGGGGCCAGGCCTGCCAGGCCTCAGTTCCACCAGTGACCGGCTGGCTGGACAAGGCCTGGCCCTCGCTGGACTCAGCGTCCCCATCGGTTGTGCTCGGCTGACTTCACAGCGGTCACTGAAACAATGAGAAGAAAAGGCTCCCCAGCCTAGGACAGGTACTGTGTTCTCTACTCAGTGTGTGCCTTTTCTGACTCAACTGCCTCTACCGCTGACCCCAACCACACCCTCCTATCTACACTGGGGACAGCACACCACCCTGCCCTGCCCGGCTGTTCCCGCTGCTCACACTCCCTGTCCTGGCTTCTCTCTCTGGTGAGCCCCATGCTCTTCCTTCAAGAACTGGCTCTGAAGGTGCCTTGAGGGGAAGCCTCTCCCTCTCTCAGTTCCCTTATCCCATGAGTGGATGAGAGGACCTCAGCCACCTCATTGGGTGGTTATGATCCACCTGACAAAAGGAAGGGTCTCCATAAATGATGGATGGATGGATGGACAGATGATGGAAGAATTGATGGATAGGTGGATGGGTGGGTGGATGGGTGGGTAGATGGGTGGGTGGATGATGGACGGAGGAAGAGAGGGAAGGAGGGAGGATGGATGATGGGTGGATGGATGATGGTGGGTGGATGGGTGGGTGGATGGGTGGATGGATGATGGATGGAGGAAGAGAGGGAAGGAGGGAGGATGGATGATGGTGGGTGGATGAGTGGATGGATGAAGGAGAGAGGAGGAAGGGAAGGAGTTAAGGGTTAATCTTTTGTGAGAAAACTTTCAAAATGACGTAGCACCCAACTACATGTAAGCTATTTCTATTACTTCTTTTGTGTCTCCTTGGTTCAACTTCTACCCATTTTCACAAAGGTCAGCTGTTTTAGACATGAGCCATTTACTTGATTCACTTAGCAAACACTGACTGAGTCCCCACTGTGTACCACGTACTAGGCTGGGGTTCCAGGGACACAGCGTGAGTGAGGCGTTCTCGGTCTCCCGGGAGAGTCGGTCAACATCTGTTAAATGACGTCAGAGAGGAAAATCCCAGGACTGTGGGGCTGTGGGGAGGGCAGGTCCCTTCTGTCTCGTAGGGGGAGGGGAGAGGCTTCCCCTCTGGGCTCTATCAGAGCCAGTTCTTGAAGGAAGAGCGTGGGGCTCACCAGAGAGAGCAGCAGGACCGGCAGTGTGAGCAGCGGGAACAGTGGGGCAGGGCTGGGAGGTGGGCCGTCCACGGTGTAGACAGGAGGGTGTGATTGGGGTCAGCGGTGGGGGCGCAGGAGGGCGGGGAAGGCACACACTGAGGAGAGAACACAGTACCTGCCCGGGCTGGGTAGCCTTTCCTGGTCACTGTTTCAGTGACTGCTGTGACGTCAGCCGAGCACGTGGCCCTGCCCCGTGTCACAGATGGGGACACGGAGTCCAGCGAGGGCGGGCAGTCGCATGACCTCCCCAGCGCCACACAGCAAACCAGGGGCAGGTGGCGGTGCCGGCTGGGCTTCCTTTCGGGCCATGGCTTTCAGGCCTTTGTTATGGATGAAATGCAGATGGCGCCAACATTGCCCACTGCACGTTAGCCAAGACACCTCGTGGGGCTCTTTCTGAATGTGGGATGGACAGCACGCAAAGACACGCTGGAGCCATCCTTAACTGGTCGCCCCGACAGGAGCACAGCCAGGACCCACCTTCATCTGTGCGAACAAATGCACGCTCAGAATTCCGTCAGGCCTCTGATGTCACGGACTTGTCCACGCAAAGGTCCCTTCTCCGAGGCTTCTCTGCCTCCGGATCCTAGTAGAGGGAAGGCGCCCCTTCCTTCCTGTCCATCAGAGGGAGCTGTTTGTTTCGAGTCATGGCTCTGCTAGGCTAGGACACTGCAGTGACAGGCTGGGGACGGTGCCAGCTCCAGCAGGGAGGGTGGTAAACCGAATCCAAACTCCAGGTCCCCACACACCCTCGGCGAGGGGTCCTGCCCCAGGAGCCTCACTTCTGTGCCTCCCCCGCCATGTGCATGGGTGTGCTGCTCACAGCTGCTGGCCGACCCGCCTGGATGGGGGCCTCAGACCACTTCAGTC